TGATTCTGTAAATGATGACAGTGAAGCTGGAGCTATTGTTGGTTGGACATTGTTTGAGCTAGGTGCTGTGTGGAGTATTTTCCATACATGACTTCATTCCATCCTCCCAGCTCTGTAGAGAGGATTTCTTCAGTTCTCCATGTTTGAGTGGCTTTGAGTGGTTAAGTGACTTGCCTAGTGTTGTGTGGCTGGTCTATGAATATCAGGCCAGCCTAAGTAACTGCCACCCCTCTGCCCACTGTGTTGTTTCCGTGGACATTGGGCAGGCTTCTCTCATCATCTGTAAAATGGGACTGTTGAACCCAATCAGTGCTTCTTTCGCTGGGTCCACAAGAGCAGCAATGAAGAGCTTCCAGTTGTCTTTAATCTTTCAGAAACCCTCACTGGAACCAGATAGGAAGATGTCCAGCTAATTACCATACCATGCTTGGCTGTGATTACATCAACTCACTGCAGTAGCACGGATTGTCTCCTGCTAATTAAAAGTTCTGATGGATAATTTTAAACATTTTCTGGGAATGATGGCTTAGTAAATGCCACAATCTTTCGATCCATGTGGTCCCTAGGGATGAACAGACTAGGAACCTTGGGCTGGCCAGCCTCTGAGAAGCTCTGGCCCAAGAGAATCTGGGAGAATTTGTGGGTCCCACATCTGGACAATCCCTTGACAGTCACCTGGAATTCCTGTTTGATTTCACACCCAGCTACACCAGACCCTCCTTCCTACAACAGACAGAGGGGACTGTGTCCTTTTCCACTAATTAACTGATGATAGATGCTGTTACTGTGACCCTGTAGTCATTTACAAGGGAGACGGTGAGGAAGTTGGAAGCAGCACCAACTCCTACCAAAGGGGTGTTCTCCTTGCTCTTCATCTGTCCCTCATCACATATGTTAATGTTTCAGAAATACTAGCAGTGAACAGTACTCTACCCTGTCACAACCCCTTACTTTTGTATAACACATTGCAGGGCTTTTACTGTAAATCATTTCATTTTAAAATTTTTTTATGGTGATAAAATGTATATGGCATAAAATTAGCCATTTAGCCATTTTTAAGTGTACAATTCAGTGGCATTCATTCCTGCGCTCACCACGTGGTGCCACCATCACCACTATCTATCCCAAACCTTTGTCATCACTCTGAACAGAATCTCAGGACCCCTCAAACACAATAACTCCCCCTTCCCCCCTTCCCCTCCCAAAGTTAGTTCACTTTGTTCTGCAAATGCAAGCCCTTTGACTCCACTTCCTAGGTCAGCATATAGGTGTGGCCTCCTTGCTGCTGGGGATGCGGATCTGTCTGGACTTCCCCACGTCCCCTGGCCTCCGCCCAGGGCTCTTCGGATCCCCCAACAAAGCGCTGGCTCTTAGAGTCCAGGGGAAACTGCAGTTGCGCCTTCTCACTGTGCAGTGCCCTGGTATGAAAGAGTTACCAAAAGGCACCCCTCAGAAGCGACAGTACCCATTTCAAGTACTCTGACCCTCTTGGATGGAAGTAGCCACAGCTTTCTCTAGCAGCACCCCGGCCCAGGTGTTGTCTTGGGTCTCTGATGCTGCCATAACAGCAGTAGCAGTGGGTGGGTTTGACAAACAGAACTTTATTGTCTCGCTGTTTAGGAGGCCGAAGTGCACATTCAGAGCTCTGACTTTCTCTGTCCGCTCCGGAGGAAGGGCCGTGTCTCTTCAGCTTCTGTTGCTGGGCCATCTTCATGTAGTTTGGTCTCTCTTTTCCCCCCATCTCAGCTTCTTTAGGTTGCTTATTTAATGAACTCTAGTCTAACTCAAAAGGGATGAATTTAAGACTTACCCTACACTAATCCTGTATCATTAACATAACAAAGGCAACCTCTTCCCAGATGGGATTATAACCACAGGCATAGAGGTTAGGATTTACACCTGTGCTGGGGGCAACATGGTCCAATCCATAGCAGATGTGAAGACTCTGCTGCTGTCAGAGCTGGCCTTCCTCTCCACGGCCTGTGAAAATGGGCTACAGTGCATGTGGGGTCAGCCCCACCCTTTGAGGCCTAGAATGTGAAACAGGTGAGTGGGATTGGAAAATCATATTCTGTAAAGTGTTTCTTCCAAGTAGCAGAGGTCCACTCTATAAACTTTGATTCCAATCACAATAAAAAAGGTAAAACAAACAAGAAACATGGTAGCAGAGGTTACCCTGATGATGATGGTGGTGTCGTTGGGTGCTGTAACGTTAATTCTGAGACACAGTGACCCCATTTGACGGTGGCACTGCCCCATAGGGAGCAGTTTGCCAGGTCTTCCTCCTACAGAGCTACCAGCTAAGTTCAAACAGCCAGCCTTCGCGTTAGCAGCTGAGCATTTAACCATAGCACAACCAGGGCTCCTTCTCTTGATGAGAAAGGGCATTTGGTTTTCTACACAACCTGCTCAGGGCATTTTGTAAATTATAAATGAGGGTGGCTATGCCTGGAAATGGCAGGTCATATGCAGGAGGACCAGACGGTCCAAAGCCTTCCAGGTATCTGTCACTCACCTGGGGTCAGAGTCCCCTTGTAGCCAGCAGGCCATCTAAACCAGTCTTGTCATAGTGCACACATTTCTCTGATGGTCAGAAATCCCACTTGGCTGCTGTCAGAAGCTGCCTCAGAGGGAAGAATGGGGACCCTGGGCAGAAGGACAGGAAACCTTGGCAGGCAGACACCCAGCAGTTCAGTGAGGTCAGTGACCCGAAGCTCACCCAGATCCAGCCGCTGGGAAGTGAGCTGAGGTTCCAGGAGGGATGGGTCACTGAGGTGAGCTGGTAACCAAAGCCGGGCACTGACCTGTGGCCCTTGGCTTCTTTGGTGCATTCTTGGTGCTCCAAGCATCACAGTGTGTGCTGGTGATTTTATGACATAACTTAGGGTCCTGTCGTGACTTCGCAATAGCAGTGGGGTACCTGGGAGAGGGGCAGCTGGTTTCACCTAGTCAGGACACTGGCTGCTGTCAGGTCAATTCCAATGCATGGCAGCCATGTGCACCAGAGTGCAGCTCTGGGGGACTTGATCCTCCAGCCTTCCCATTGGCAGCCAGGCATGTTAACCCTTTGTACCACCCGGACTCCTAGTCTACAATGAACCAAAAGACCCATTGCCATTGAGCCGATTCTGACACACAGTGACCCTATAGGACAGAGTAGAACTGCCCCATAGGGTTTCCAAGGCTATAAATCTTTACAGAGGCAGACTGCTCCATCTTTCTCCCATGGAGTGGCTGGTGGGTTCCAACAGCTGACCTTTTGGTTGGGAGCCGAATGCCTTAACCACTGCGCCCCCAGAGTTCTTTAGTCTAGGATAGAGCAGGAAAATGATCATCCTGGAGTCCTAAACCTGGAAAGTGATACATCTGGAGGTGACCTTGGAAATCACCTTGGCTACCACTGTCCCTTGCGTGCTTCTCATTTTGAAGAGGAGGAGATTAAGTCTTCTTAAATAATGCTTCTGTGTGGTAGGTTGGGGCACAGCCTGGGCACTGTTTGCATGGCCGTTACAGACCCTCTTTCTAAATTGCAGCCCAGCAGTGGCTGGTTTGTGCTCCAGTCTTTGCTCAGAGCGACACACGGTCACAGGATCGGCCTTCTGGAAGCAGGAAGCCCTGTCAGCCGGTCAGCCACAAATCCATCCTTATTCCATGAGCAGGCTATACCTCCAATAACAAAAGAAGCATGCGTTTGCCTCATGGTGGAAATTTGGAGACACCTGAAAAATGTGTTCGCATGTTTCATTGCTCGAGTTTGTTTGGCTACAACCACACACACCTAGCAGGTTTTGGGAAAGTATTCCAGAAAAGATCCCATTTTAAAGCTATTGTGAAAGAATCATATTTGAAATGATGCCTTCAACAATCAGCAGAACGAGAAGGGTTTGAGCCAGAAGGGCTACTTCTGTTTACTTGTATATAGAAAAGGCATTAGGTTTCATGGACAGCTGGCTTGTGAGCAGGTCACGTGGCCCAGCTTGGTTTTCTGTTTAAGATCCATCTTAGAGGAGCTGCAGGTGGCGGCCTCAGCGTGGACGGAGCCCATTCCTGTCTTGTTCACCACCATGTCCACTGTACCCAGTGCAGTGCCCGACATATAACGGGTGCTCAGAATCCATTTACTGGATGTGGTGTGGGAGTTCAGTTGTGTGGCTGACCGGGGTTTGCACATGGAACTGCTTGGTAACCCAGACAGGCTGAGGGGTCTGTAGTCTCCCGTGAGGGTGTCTGGAATTTTCTTGGCAGCCTGAAGTCTCCAGTCAGTTTGCCTTAGGCCATTTCTCCACCAGTGGCCTTTGAGTGGTCTTTGCATCTGAAAAGTTGTCTGCAACCAGCCCTGTGGGATTTTAGAACATGTCCCAGTAATTCGTGAAGCTTCTTCCACAAGCCATGCTGAAGGGACAGTGTCCGTCTTTCCTTGCTTTCAGTTCTCAGTCAGGGACCACCATGGGTCTAGTTCCCAAATGGGTGGATCCTCCATGTTTTATGTGAGTGTTGCAGAGAAAACATGCACCCCAAAGTTACACACTCTCCACTCTGAAAACTGCAAAACCCTTGACCTTGTCCACCAATGTGTGCCTGCTCACGCCCTCTCATTTCCTTGGGACTCTGCCAGGGTCGGAAGTCTCGTTGCAGCAAAAGGCTTGCCGGTCGTCGGAACCACCCCTTTGGGCTCTCTCCATAGTTCAGTCTCAAGGAGCTGAGAGCCTTGTTCCTGGACCCACCCTTCCCGGTCTAGATTGCCCCGTGATTTCCTCTGGCCCTAACCCCGCCTTTTGTTTCTCTGCAGAGTTGGATTACAGAAACCCCTATGAAATCGAATACATGGAGAAGATTGGCCCCTCCTTACCTGTAAGTTCTGCCTCAGACCAGTCAGGGGACTCCCTCCCCTCCCCCAGTGTCTTGCAGTGGCCTCCTGGCCTGTGCAAAGCGCCCCTGGAGCTCAGACTCCAACTCGAGGGCCACCTGTGACGCAGCAGCCAGAGCGCACAGGAGGGTGAACGGGGGCATTGGGACTTGTGCTCTTTCACCTTCTTGTAGCATTTTCAGGGAGACAGAAGGCAATTAAGCTTCCTGGCAGAATTACTTCCGTAACACTGAGGAAGCAAGACTAACCTGGGTCCTAAGAAAAGAGAGTTCTTGGTGGTTTTGACGATACAGTATTAGGTGTTTACACCAATTGCTTTTTCTCAGTGTAGCTGAAGCTTCTCTCTGGGGAGGAAGCCTCTACTCCCCTGCTCCATTTTAAATGGTTGTGATGAAGCTGTCTCCGCTGGCGTCCTACCTGCCGCTGCCACAGCTGCTTCCGGAGTGTGACCTCCCACACCTGCCGCAGTTTATCACTGCCCTCGAGGGCCTGAGGTGCCCAGGAGTGCTTGGCAGGACACTTGGTGGCCCCAGCCACGATGCTTTTTGTCTTTCCTTGCATCGTTTGTAGATGTCGGGCTGCTGCTTCTAACCACAGCTTGCTGTAAGAAGCTGGGGTAGGAAGATGTACCCATAAGCGCACCTGACTCGGGTATCACATCACACAGATCAGAGCTGCCTGGGCACCGTGCATGGACCTTGTCACTGCCCACATGCTCAGAGCCATGGTCCCTTACATCTGAGTTAACACCCACCCTGCATGGGACCTCATTAAATGACAGGAGGAAAACTCTATTTGCAGACAAGATCACACTCACAGGTACAGGGGTTTTTTGGGGGGACACAGTTCAACCCCTGACATGTGATTTGGGTCTCCACAGCATGATGACGATGCCCCCAAGAAGCAGGCTTTGTACCTGATGTTCGATGCTTCTCAGGAGAGCCCCGTCAAGTCTCCCCCCATCCGGATGTCTGACTCCCCAGCGCCGTGTTCCGGGTATGACTAATGTAGTGAGAGAGTCCTGGGTCAGGGCGCAGCTCACCTTCACACTGGGCTCTGACTTCGTTTTCTCCGCGTGTGTTAAGGCTGCCTACCCTGCTGTCTGAGGAGCCACACGGACCAAATGTATAGGCTTTGTTCATGTCTGCCCTTTGGACTGAAGCCAAAGCCCCCCCGCCCCTCACCCCCAACATTCAGACGACTTTATTTTGTGAATTTTCCATCAGGGAGGCAGTGAGACAAAACACTTGGAGCCTGAATCCCACCTGCACCGTGTACTGATGGTGTGACGGATGTGGGGGGGGTGTAACCTCCCTCTTCTGTCGTTTCCCCGCCCGTTAGACAAGGGTACCAATAGTGTCGACCTCACAGGGATGTGAGGAGGTCCTCAGTCTTACAGAGGATCCTTCGGCGTTGTGACAGGGAAACATACACCAGTCTCCCAAAGCCATTGGGCGAAGAAATGGAGAGACTGCTGGGCAGCACAGTCACAGTGCCAGGCACACACAGTGTCCAGTCAGCATCGGTCGTTGATAGAGACGTCAGTAGTAGCATTCATCAGAAGTCGGGTCCTAAGCTGAGGGCACCTGCTTGGGTAAGGGTGGGACATTGCTCTAAGATCTGGCCCTTCTTGGCCTCTCCTGCCTGCCGCTTTCATTGAGCAGGGAAAGCTCCAGCCTTCACTTCCCAAACGTACTGGGGACCGTGAAGACCACCGTCTGCTCGAGATGGTGAAAGTGATGCTGCTGCTGCCGCCACTGTAGTGGCTCTGTCGGGCACCACGGGGTGCGTTATGCGTGGCACCTCGTCTCATCTTCACAGAAGGGACATCGGCTCCATCTTGCAGAAAGGGAAACTGAGGCATGCTACCCAGTCACTTCCCCAGGGTACACAGCCAGCAGCTGACCGTCTCCTTAGCTCCAGAGCCCAAGCCCCTTAGCCAGTGGCATCCGTGCTCCCCACCTCCCCTGTCGGCAAGCCCTGGGCTGGAGCTGGACCACTCCTGCCTTGCACCACAAAGTCTGGAGGCCCTTAGCCACCAAAGACCTGCTCCATTGCCTTCAGGGAACACAGCCCTGCAAGTGCAGGACCTCTCAGGATGTTGCCGTGGCCCGTGCGTAATGGCCCATTGAAGTTTCCAACACAAAGACTCTAAAGGTGCCCTTTGTCCCCCCAGGTCAAGCTTTGAGGAGACGGAAGCCCTTGTGAATGCTGGGGCCAAAATCCAGCATCCCATCCCACGAGGGCTGGGCCCCAGCCAAGAGCCACACTCGCAGGTGCCAGAGAAGTCCACCACCAAAGAGCTGGAGGCTATGGCCTTGGGGACCACTTCAGACCCAATTGAAATTGTAAGTGGGGGTCAAGGGGACTGAGGTCACTGGGGATGAGGCTGGGCCAGCTGGGTTCCATCACCAAGAGGGCCAGCCTTCAGAGCAACACTCTGCTGGCCCCTACCCACACCCCACACCCCAGAAGCCAGCCTGGGAGCCCCCAGTTCACCAGTGAAAGGCTCACCACGCTCCCCATGTGTGTCTGCAGGTCTCACCCGTCTTCCTGGTGCTTCTTTGCACTAAAGGTTCTTTAATTTCCACTTTCGGCCCCTTGGCTGCGTTCTGCCCCGGAGCAGTCATCTGTCTGTACCCTGCCAACACCTCTGCAGGGCAGCGGGTCGGCACATGGCCGAGGGTGGTAGGGGGGACATTTCCTTTTGGGGAACAGTTGATTTTCCTGGGCCTCAGCTATGAGAAATCCCTCCAGTGGATGGATAGATAGATAGATAGGTAGATAGAGACTGTATTTTTACACAGATAACGCATGACTTATGTGGTTTCTTGCAATCTGTGCAACCCTGTCACACATTGGTTTTCTATGGGCACTATATGCGTGGGTGTGTATTTGAAAAATATGGCAGATAGATCAGTAGGGGCTGCCATCCAGTCGACTCCTACGCCTGGCAGCCTTAGGTACAACAGGATGAGACGCTGCCCTGTCCTGCATCTTCAGTCACCACCTGCACCAGCCCGTCCTTGGGCCAGTCCTTTCCTGCCGGCCTCATTGACTTGCACGCGTATGAACTAGGACTTACACCTCACCCTTCCCAGCCCTAGTGAGGTCCTGCAGGTCGCGGCCCTCTCACCTTCACGCACCATTACACGTGTCTATCTGTAGGCCTGTGTGCTAGAGGGGGGCTGCCATCTGTGGTCTCCCCATGGTGTGTGATACGCTTGTGGAGTGCGTCCACACGCTGAACACGGACCGTCCTTCTAGGTGGATTTTATTTTTCTTCCTTTCCTCTCCCTTCCAGCAATTCCTAAGAAGGTTTGAAGTTGTTGATTTAGTGTATGCTTTTTTTCTTCCTTGTTAGTAGACCGTCTATTTACCTCATGTATCAAATATTTGGCAGAGGGTTGGATGCTGGACAACCAGTAGTGAGCAGACAGAGGTCTAGACGTGCTGCAAATGATCCCAAATAAGTGCCTTGAAGACCTGCGTCTGGTTCAGCTGCTGCAGAGCTGACCGCTGACGGTGGCGGCTTTCTGATCTGCCAGGAGACACGTGTTCCTTTGAAATTATCTTTCCTTTTATTTTTTCCGCTAAAATGACCTTTACCAAAACAAAGCCTCAGTTGCTTTGATTTTCATACTTGAGGCGTTTTCTTTTTCCTTTTTTTTTTTTTAATTGTGATTTGGGTGAAAGTTTACAGAACAAATTCACTTTCCATACAGCAGTTCACACACACGTTGTCTCATGACATCGACTACAATTGACCCCAAGGCAACAGCTCCCCTCCCACTTCCTCCCGATAGTTACCTCTTCCCTATAGCCATCCTCCACGCACTCCTGTCCCCTGAGCTGCCTCCCTGTGCATAAACAGTCCTTCTTTCTCTTGAGCCCTTTCTTTTCCTTGATGAGTTATGTTAGCTAGCCCTTCCCATCTCTCCCCTGAGATTTTCAAATAAATATGTCAACAACACATTTCCTTCCCCCTGATTGGTTATTGGAGATGGTTAGAGAATATGGGTGGCATGGCGGTGGGGGGGGCACCTAGGGCTGTACTTTTGGGGAGGGGCTTGGACCTGCCACCCCTAAGGTCCCGTTGTCAGCATGTGGTAATTAGCACAGGGGAGGAGGAAAGCACTGACACTCTCTTTAGCCTTAAGACAGAAATGTCCAGCAGCTGGGTGCATGGTCCTGGCCTGGAGTCATTGTCACTCTCTGCTGTCCTCTCTTTTTCCTCGGTGTGCTCCTTCCTGTCTGCCGGCCTTCAGACAGCTCCGGAGGGCTCCTTTGTCTCTGCGGACGCCCTCCTCAGCACACTGGGTCGTCCGGCCTCTCTCTGTGGTGCACTTGACTACCTGGAACCCGACTTAGCAGAAAAGAACCCCCCACTATTTGCTCAGAAACTTCAGGTTTGTAGCCCACATGGGACCTTTCAGAAGTCTGTCAAAACCTCAGTAGAGAATGAACCCTGAGCCCCCAGAGAAGAGGCAGGATTTAATGAGGAACTTCTAGTTCCCAATGAAATAGCTTCCCCTCAAACACCCATAGGTGGCGTTCTTTATCCAAGACGCCAAAATTACAGAAATTGTGTGATTTACCTATTTGACAAACCATTTCTACCTCAGTTTGGAAACTGGGCCCAAGCAGTCATTTTTCAGCACTCTTGACAGCCCCAGCGTTTCTGTGATTTATTCTCCAAACTGAAGGTATGAGGTCATCACCGGGCTAAGCTATTTATATGCACAAGGCCACCTCAGACTCCCGTTGAGATAACATCTGGACTTGGTCTTACATCTGGCACCAAAGCAATTGTCTGTGCTGTGGTTCCAATTTGACAATTTAATTTGATGCCCTCTAGACTAGAACGTTCCACGAGGACCTAGGGAGATGGTTAACAGTCATGCGAGAGCCACGGGTCCAGCCGTGGAGAGGTGCCAACTTTCCGTTAAAACAACATAAGAAAAGCGATCCAAGCGAACATTTTGATCCCACTCTAAAACTCCCTTCCTATTCAGCTGTACAATGCATCCCGACAGACATTCGAACGGGTGATTAAAAAAGGCATTGAACACGTACTTCATGATCTGCTGAGGTGTTAATTGTGAAAGAGCCCTGGCACATGTGTCCCTCCCGAGTACTTGTCATGACGCATTGAAGTGGCACGTTCATTCCTGGATGTGGGAAACATTCACGTCCTGTCTTGTTGCATTTCCCCACGGTGTGCTCCCACCCCACCCGCGGGCAGGAGGAGTTAGAGTTTACCATCATGAGGATAGAAGCCCTGAAGCTGGCCAGGCAGATCACCCTGGCTTCCCGCAGCCGCCAGGACGCCAAGGTACCCGTGTGCTGCCCATGCCTGCTCTCCAGAATGTCGTGTGTGCCACCAGGGTCCAGGTGCTGCTTTGCTAACCGTCGGTCAGGCAGGCGACTCCGGGCTCTGACAGTGGAATTTTCACAAGGCTCAAAGCATAACTCTTGCAAAGATGCGGAGTGGGCACGTGGCTGAGAGCTCTTTAACTCCTTACTGAGGGCACCTGCGGGATGGTAAAGCTGCTTGAATGGAGGAAAAGGAAATTAATGTGTATCCAGACAATAGGGTAAAGAAGGCTTGAATACAACTGCAGTATTTGATATGGAGCTGGTTACTGGTTAACTGGAGTCCTGGGGGTGCAAACAGTGACGCGTATGGCCACTCACTGAAATGTTGGCAGTTCAAATCCACCCAGAGACATGACACCTCAGAAGAGAGGCCTAGTGGCTGGCCTCTGTAAGGTCACGGCCACTGGAAACCCTGTGGAGCACAGTTCAGCTCTGACCTACGTGGGGATGCCATGAGTCAAGGTCCACTTGACAGTAATGGGGCTGGTTTTGGTTTGGCAGGATGGTGACCCTGGTGGAATGGAGAAGATGGGACATTAACGTGTCTCGTCACTGGGGTAGAGAAAGCTAACGTAACATCGCAATGTTGGCTAATGCTGGTTAAACAGAATAAAAAAAAAATCATAACCTAGTCACTCTGATTAGGTTTTATGGTTGAAATATTGGGTTTTGGTCCAAAGTCCACTGGGCCACCTCACCTTATATGATGATGGAACCTCACTGTCCTCATCTATGAAATGGATAGAGACCAGCTCGTCCCTTTTTTTTGGAACCTCAGCCCTCTTTATGATTCTGATAAAGGGCTGAGACCACCTCACTAGAATAATGTACCCAAACCCATTGCTGTCGAGTCACTTCCAGTAAATAACACACATACTAACAAAACATAGTACTCAACTTCGGGGTGTCCACAGACCCACTGGAATCCATCCCTGGATCCCCACTTAAAGACTGTGTGGGGGCCCCTCGAAGGCCCCCCGGCCCTGAGGCACTTTGGCTGTGTCTCCCATGTCTTCTCTTACTTCGTTCTCACAGCAACTCTATGAAGTGAGTACATTGCTTGTCCCCACTTAGGTGAAGAAATAGAGGCTTCACGGGGTTTCATACCTTTCCTGAGGTCAATTAGCAAGTGGCAGCCGCTGAGGCTCCCTGTGGAGGGTGGGGATAATGGCAAATTTAGTGATACTTTTTAGAGGTAGAATGGTATCATGAAAGCAAAGAAGTGGGCCCTGGAGTCCAATCGGGGCTTGAGCCCCAGTGGTACTTTGTGGATTTGGCCAAGTATTTGACTGTCTCAGCCTCAGTGTTTGCATTTGTAAAAGAAACACCTCAAGTTGATTCCAACTCATGGAAACCCTATAGGAAGAGTGGAACTGCCCCCAAGGGTTTCCAAGGCTGTAAATCTTTATAGGAAGCAGACTGCCTCATCTTTGTCCTGTGGAGCAGCTGGTGGGTTTGGACTGGCAACCTTCTGGTTTGCAGCCAAGTGCTTTAACCGCTGCACCACTAGGACTCCTCAGCCTGTAAGATAAGGCCAATGATAATGAGTTTTCAGGTTGCTGTGAGGACTGCGGACGGTGTGTCAGACGGTGTGTAAAGGGCGGCCCAGTGCCTAGCACAGTAGCCGTGGAGTAAAAGTCGGCAGCTGTTGTCAGCTAACCCTTCATTTTGCCTCTGTTACCTGATCAGACGCTCCCAGCATCTCTTCACAGGAGGTGGATCTGATTCCCATTTGCAGGAGGAAAACCTGAGCCACGTAAGCAGCCCAAGGCCTGGCAGTGATTCACGGGCTTAGGGAGGATGAAAACGCAGGTCTGCGGGCTGGTGGGAGCCTCTTGCTCTGCCCTCTCACACTGGCAGAGGGGCCGGGCTCTCTCCATGTCTCTCCAAGGCACAGGGGCCCCACGTGGTTTCCCTGGGCAGTCACCTTTGGAGCTGCAGAGGAAACCCCTCCCAGACATATCTCCCAGTCCCAGTGACCTGTGGGTGTCCAGATGGGGACAGAGGGGTGCAGGCAGGGGCAAGAATATAAATACAGATCACTCACATCCCTGCTACCAAGCCACAGACCTGCGTCCATCTCATGTCCGCCTTTTCTAAGGGTGTAATGTCTATGAAAGTTTATTTTTTGTTGTTGTTGTTTTTCAAAGAAAGCATTAAGCAATGGGGATTTTCTTCCCATTAGATTTATTTCTTGATATTCTTGGGGAATGGTTTGAAGGCAGAATGAATTGGCTAAAATTTGGCCATTAGAAATATGGGACAGGAGAAGTCTGAAGCAAGGTTGAGCGTGTTCCGAAAAATTCTGAGTAGAGAGTGTCCCGGAGTGCCTGGCTGTCCCCGACTCCTTCGTCTGAGGATGTGTGGGAGATGGTGGTCAGTAAATACTGATTTTGAGCTGACTATCTGTAACACCCTGTCCCCAGACCGTGTGTCCTGATTTGATTTGGAAAATATTGTCACCCAGCTCCACGGAGCCCAGGCCACCTCACGTGATTCAGAAGTGCATGCTGGGAGAAGGTTCTGCAGGGACGGGGTAGAGAGGTTTCATAAGGCACAGCTGAGATTCTGTACCGTAGTAACTCACTGCTTCTTGTAGAAAGTATATTGGTGACTTGGGCCCATGGAAAAGAGGTGCTCTCCCTGAAGTTCACCAGCTCCAGGGCGATGCACTTACCTTGGCCCGGTTACTGTCCTGTGCGTTTCTGACGCACCTCACGGCCTTGGGACGCTGGTGTGCAGGGAGAGCAAGTACGGCTGTGCTCCCATGTACTCTTTTCTCCACCCGTGTATTGCAGCTGCAGGTGATATAGCCCAGTCCTTTTGGCATTGTGGTCTGAAACTGTCACTGATGCAGAAATGAAGTCACTGGGAACAAAACAATCAGATGAGGGAATGAGATCCAGGTTAATACGCTGTGGACTGGCTGCTGGTCCTTAGAGCAGTTCAACTTACCCCTCCCTATAGGCTGACAGAGTGGGATGCCATGGAGGAATGCAGCTGGTTTTCTCGGTCTCGTTAGTAAGAAGCCATCGCAGGAGGGACAGTCCGGAGGAGCTGGGGTGTCTGGCTGCAGCCTCCTTGTAACTCTTCTTGTGCTTGAACTAAGTTCTCTTGAGTCCTCATGGGGCTAAATGGGATTGGGGCCCCAGGCCAAGGGGTGCAGCAGCTGTGAACTCAACCGGGATAGGCGGCACTGCCGTGTCCCATCTGCAGGGCCTTCCCAGGGCTACCTAGCACAAGGGGGTTGATGTCACTTGTGTCTAACAGACACAGCTCATGATCCTTCAAGCCAGTGGCTTCTGGATTCGAGGACTGCAGGATGTTTCTGAGTATCTTGGGAACAAGAATCATGGGGAGGAAAATTAATCTTCGATGTCTGATTCTTACAGAGGTGTTGGCTTGTTGGGGGCAAATGCATGGATGTCAGGTGAACAAAGGAATTAGGTCTGGGCAGCGTAATGTCAGACACTGGGTCTTCCTTTCTCACTTTCTGTCCCAAAACCACCATCGCCCGACATTTAAAACAGTGGCTCAAAAGTAGAGAGACGTGAAGCCATGAGAAGAGTCTGAGAAAGAGCTGACAGAGGGCTGGCCGGTTGCAGGGTGATGGTGAGCCCTGCATATGGTGGTGGGCATTTGCATTGACGTAGCTCATTCTGTATTGTTTCTGTTTCCTCCCTTGCTTTCCAGAGGTCTCTGTGCAGCTCAGATGGAGACCTTCCACGCCCACACTGATCAGGTTTCCCTTCTGCCTAGTATGATAAAGTCAGTTTTAATTACACACGTTTTGTCTTGCGCTTCAGGCAGTTGGTTTGTTTTGGATAAGAATTGAATCTCATTCTCTGAAAACTTTCGGCTAAATCTCTCAGCTCCTCAAGTTTTTCATCTTCAGAAGGGCTAGACCGAGATGGCATCAAATGTCCTTTTCCTTTTGAAATGCTAGTCTTTTTGAGTAAAATGTTGTTTTACTTAGCGTGGTGGGAACACATTGCTTTGAATCCCCTCCAGAACTTCGATGAACTTTCTCCGTTAAGTGCAGACGTTAGGTTTGGCTCACTGGGCATTTAGTTTCCCAGTCACTTTCTAAGAAGTCTCTCTATCTAGCAAAAGCTTGAAAACCACTTCAAACAGCAGAGAGTAGCTAGTCCCTGCGTGAGACTCTACCCTAACGTCAGGTACACCATTCTCCAAGAGGAACCTGCCAGCTCCTGAGGTTGTCTTGGGGTCACGTGTCTTGTAAAGCAAGGTTTCTTTCAGACCCAAGCCTGAGAAGGTCCTGGTGCCCCCTTTACCACGTGAATGTGTGTTTAGAGTCTGGATGGACAGGGCCATGTGCTCCCTTCTCTGAATAGTTGGTCGTCATCCAGGTCCCCCTTCGGGGTTAGCCTACGTATTCCAGCCTGGGCAGGGACAGTGGAATCAAAGCAACAGTAGTTCACTTCCAGGACAACCAAAGTCATGTCAGTGACCTTGCATGTGCACCACTAACTGGACCTAACCGAATAACCTCCAGTCCTATCCATTAAACTTCCGTTCGAGTTTCCTAAGCCATCTCCAGTCTCCAGTACATTCTCCCTGATGCTGTATAGGTGAGCTCGCCTACTCTTGTGACAGAAGAGAAAAATTCTGCTACTGTTGGTTCTTTAATCTTTCTGCTGCCTTTTAAAAGATGAGTCCTCATGTTTTCCCAACTATCACTCTCTTTCCACTGTACGGTGGTGTTCGTTCACCGCTCAGTTGACTCATAAATTTCCTGAGGGAGACCCGGTAAGATGCTGCCCGCTAGAACACCATTGCTTCACGTGGCGTTGGGCTCTAGTAACGAGGGTGGAGTTTGCCTTGGCAGCCATAACAGCTCCGTGAGGTTAATGAATAGGACTGCGCATATGGTTGGTTTGATGTGTCTTTTGCAGTAGAAGTAGACTGACAATCCGCATTGATAGAAGAGACTCCTAACACTGCATTTCTACTGTGTTGGAAGCTACCAGGCATTTGTGCAGAGAGCGGAGGGCTGACCAGAGACCTCTCCTCTGCTCCCAGGGGGTTCGTGTCTGTCCTCTGTAGGAGGCTATACAACAGGCAAACCAGTGCCGGTTGGGATGCTACCACTTGTTGAGGGTCTTATCAGTAAAGGTGGATATTGTCGTTGATCTGGTTTTCAGCCTTCATGGCAACATGACTCCATATTGTATTACCTTTAAGGAAGCCAGAAACTCCAGCTTGTTGACTAAGTGTGGCGGGCCTTCAGCTTCATGTGATAGCATCCTTTCAGATGGAGTTAAACAAATGGCCCCCAAATGGGAATGTGGCCAGTCTTACTAAAACGATCAAATCTGCAGTTATTCAAAACTAGACAAACATAGACTAGAATTCAACATCGTTCACCATCAAGCTTTCATTTGGGAAGCCGGGCCTGATGAATAATGACCTTGGTTCTTAGGTGTTGTGCCTAAGTGCCTCAGAGTCTGATAAATGGTGCTGATAAGCAGGCACCAGACATGCTTGACTCCAGGGGCCTGAGGCTGCAGGGGCCACCACCATTAGCCTCTTTGTCTGCTCGCACAGGTGCCGAACGATAGATTTCCATGGATTGTGCCAGCATCTTCCCATCCATTAGTCTTCGCATTTCCCGTGCTGTTGGTGTCCTTTGTTGCCAGTCCATACAACCAACCCATTCATGAGATGAATGCAGTCTTCTTTTGTCATATGATCACCATTAACTATTTTTTAAAAAATTGAAAACCATTCCACAGAGAGAGGCTGCCCACTCCACAGATGTCTCCATCTCCAAGACAGCTTTGTACTCACGCATCGGTGCCTCTGAGGCAGAGAAAGGCCCAGGCCTTCTGTACCAGCCCCCCGACTTGGACTCGGCTCTGCAGATCGCCAGAGCAGAGGTACAGGGGTGTGTGGCCCCGAGGAGGCCGGCTATGTTCACATTGGGGACAGATAGTTTCTGCCATATGTAAATGAGAAACGTACATACATATAAAGTCCACGTCTTTGTGGACAGGCTTTCAGAATGCTGAAGAAGGCTACAGGGAGAGATGGGTGGCAAACTGTGGGCTTGGATCTTCCTAGATACCATTGTTTAATTGGCCTTCATGAATTTGTGTGATTTATCACGGAAAACGTTCACATTTTGACTGCTCCCCAGTAGGCCCTATGGAAGGCTGATCTCTGGCGCATTGCTTCCTCATGCTTGGGGAAGCTGTCTGGATGTAACTTGTGTAGTGAGTCTTAATCCCACATGTGTTCTGTTTCTCCTTATCTTGGTCTCTGACTGGCTTAAATCTGGATTTGCTCATTTAGGCCTAACCGTTCTCTTCTTCTTCCTGATACTAGATCATCACCAAGGAGAGAGAGGTCGCAGAGTGGAAAGATAAATATGAAGAAAGCAGGAGGGAAGTGATGGAAATGAGGTGGGTTTTCAGCTCAGGCTTCCTGGGTCTTTGGAGTCTTCTGGGATCAGAGACCTGGATTTGCTGGTGGCTAACAGCTCTTGGTTCTCTTGTGGGGGATAATTATTGGATAACTTAAGTGACACCCCTCAGTCTTTTCGAGAGGCTCCTTTGGAGGTCAGTGAACAGGAGTATACTCTAGATCAAGGACAGATTCAGCTGAGACTAATCTTGCACAGACACCAGTGATATAAAATACCTGCGATCATTACAGAAACAATAGAAGACAGATGCAGAGTAATCCCTCACAGACACCTAGACACTATGGGAGAGAGATCCAGTAGATCTACAGGCTCAGGACCATAGTACTAGGGAACGCCAGACTCAACAACAAAATACATAAATCCTTGTTCCACATCCTACATTGGTGAGTAGCGACAGGGGTCTTAAAAGATTTCAAGCAGCTATCTAAGATGCAGCTAACAGTCTCCTAGCGTCGGAAGCAAAGAAGAATGCAAAAAAAAACAAGGGCATTTGGAAGCAATCAGCCCTAGGACACGATGGCCCTCGAGACCAGAAGAGCTAGATGGTGCCCGGCTACCAATGCCAACCACTCAGGAAAGGATCAAATCTGGAGATCCTGGATAGAGTGAGAGGGAAAATGTGGAACAAAATCCTAAAACTCAATAATAACTAGAATTACTGGTCAGAGGAAGTCTGATGAGGCCCCCAATGCTATGGCCCTGGAATACATTCTGCACCTGGAATAAAATGCACCCCTAGGGGCTGGCTCTCAGCCCAATAGTTAACAAGATGTACATGCAGACCATTCAACCCAGGATAACGCACCCACATACTCTATGGTAATACATCCCATAGAGCAATGGACCATGGGGCACCAGAGGACCAACATTCAGGTTGAGGAAATACAGGGCAAACAGGAATGCATAAATATGAGGGGCACAGGGGGAGGGTTATAGGGTAGGAAGAGGAGGGGACTGGGTTAGGGCTGGACATGGTAAATGGGGAGTGAAACTAAATGTACATGTAACATTGAATGTAAAACAAGCTTTTAAAATAAAGTTAAAATAAAAACTGAAGCATAGGAAAAAAAAAAAGAAGTTTGATTTTGGAGGGAGGCCTCTTCATACTTCTCAGTCCTTCCACTTGGGGCAGTCATGAAGCATCTTATGAGCAGGTGTTCTGAGTGCTTTTGTTTACTGAGGCTACCCAAGAGCTGCTCCTCCGGACCTATCCCTCCCCACCCTTACACACAGCACACACACAGGTACTAAGAAGTGGCCTCTGGGCCTTGAGGAGCTGCCTCCACTCTAATAGAGGAGGTAAGAAGCAGGTCCATGGTACCAAGTGTATGAGATGCTTTAGAAAAGGTAGGTGCAGATAAAGTGCCATGGACTGCCAAGGAGGAACCATGGAAGACTTCCTGGAGGAGGTAGGATTTGACTTAGACTTTGAGAAACAAGTAGACTATGACAGATGGAAATAGAGAGGGGGTGGGAACAGCACAAGCAAAGGCCTGGAGGTGAGACAGCCCAGAGCAACCAAGAAACCACTGGTGCTCACTGAGCCACCATGTTCACGGATTGGCGTGCAAGGAGGGAGACCGGGCCCAGATTGCAGAAGGCTTCAGTTGTCAGTGGAAGTTTGACCTTGTGTTGTTTTTTTCTTACGGGCTATGAGTAGACACTGGAGGTTTTACACGGAGAGAGGGTGGCATGGTTAGAGTCATGCACTAGGAGAATGAATCATTTGTTTGTGCAAGGAGAGGGCTGAGGCTGGAGGTGACCCTGGATATGTGGGTTCGGCTGTGTCCCTGCGCTGTTGCTGTCCAGCTCACAGGCCCCCGTGTGGGATAAGCGTGGTTATTGTCATGGTTCCAGCATGTGCCCACTTCCCTTACAGGAAAATAGTGGCTGAGTATGAGAAGACCATTGCTCAGATGATAGGTAAGTACCCAGCCTGAGGGGCTCAGGCCTGCCCTGAGGTTTCTGGACTGGGTGTGTTGGGAGGGTGGTGATGTGAGCACGTTCCTCCATGGGCAGAGAGCCTGGGCACCGAGGCAGAGAAGTACCCACCAGGCTGTCCCTTAGCTTTGTTCCTACCGGGGGAAGCCATTGTAATCACCCAGCGGCCACCATCTGACCCAACTGAGGATTGTCCAGCTCAGCGGAAAGAAATTTGGAGGCGTGTTTGTTCACAGAATAGGAATCAGGTCCCTAATCTAAATCCTAGTCTAGGCGCACGTGACAAAATGCCCCACTCGGCCTTTGCATCAGGGTCCAGGCGAGGGCGCAGAGCCTGTGGCAGTGCAGCCGCCCTTGGCCTTCCTCTGGGGCCACGTGGGGGACACTGTTAATGAGCGCAGCAGCCTTTCTCGCTGAGATTGGACTGTGCCTCGGGACCCTTCTTACAGCCTCGCTGCAGCCGTCCTGACGGTCTGAGACCCCAAAAGCAGCATCCGTTTACAAGCCACTCCCCGGGTCTCCTCTCCCCCCCCTAATACGCTTCGTGAGGGAAGATCGGGCACAAATTTCAGGCCCACGTTTTCACACTAATCACGATTCAGAAGAGGATGCCACGACTCTAGGGGGACTGTGTTTGTTTTTTTTGTTTTTAACCTCTTTACTTATTTGTTTAGATCCATGATACCCATTTTCAGAAAATCTTTTCTCCTAAGAAAATGGGGGGTAGAGACCCCAGCTCACTGCGAGCACAGTTAGTGTCCCCACCTGGCACTGCTAGCAGGTGACCTCACTCCCTCTCAGATGTTTGCATCTGAGTCATGTCACCCCTCTCGCTTGTCCCAGGATAAATCCAGTAGCCGCTGGGGACGGTGAACAGGCCAACGGCTGAATGCCCTCCATTCACTGAATTTGAATCTACTGTAACAAAGGCCTTTTCACCCCAGAACTTGTGGAGGCGGCCATGTGGGTGTTTCTGAGGTTCAGCCTCATGGCACATTATCAGAAAGCAATGTCTTTATTCCACTGGTATAAGGATTCATAGGAATTGAAAATACTTGCCAAAGCGCCTAGGATGCAGTCTGTATGTCTTGTGATATGCAGTGTGTGGCCACCTGAGCAAAGTCTCTTGGGCTCCTGGTGTCCTGGATGTGAGGCCAGTTAGACCTGCCAGTGCTCACCTGGAAGTGTCCATCTGCACGCGGTCACGTGTTTTTATTTTTGTTGTGAGTGATGGCGTTTAGACAGATGTCGAGAGGGGAGGGCAAGGGGATGGCTTTTGCTGAGAGAAGCCTGCTGCAAGCACTTGGCAGGTATGTAGAAGCAGGCGGGAGTGAGAAGCTGTCCTGGTGGCATACGTGGCCTGTCCTGTGGTGACATGTTCAACGCTGATGCTTTCCTCACAATATGCACAGGGAGAGTGGTTCCAACAGCCTTTTCCATCCTAGACAGTATGAGGGGTGCAGGGCATATGACTCCAACTCAGCCCCCCAGGCAGGTCATCTGCCTTCCTCCCTTCCCCCCCGACTCAGGGGTGTGGCCTCACAGGCCCTCCCTGCTCCCCACCCCAACCCTTTCTCCCCTCACATGGTCCTCCCTCCCCTGGTGGGGAACAGGCGTGTCTGGCTGAGGGTCCAGCTCTTTGAGGGCTGTGAACACACCCCCTTCTGAGCATTTTCCTGCTCTGAGTGTTCTGAGTGTTCTTGGGTGGTCTCGTGAAACCCCTCCTTCATCCCTGGGGGGGGAGGAACACAGTCGCTCAGGGGGCCATCCCACTGTGGTCTGTTCCCCATGCCCACCCACTATCTTCTTCTTCATCTGCTTTTCCAGAGCCTGACTTATCAGAAAGGTGGCACGTCTGTGGTGGTCACTCATCAGGCCCCCATAGATGTCGAGGTCCTCATGGCCTTGTATGGGACAGAGGCATGGCTGCAGTCACCATAGCTGGACAGGATGTGCCTTCTGGGCGGGGCTACACGGAAGCACACTCATGTGTCACTCATGTGTCTCATCTGGGTGCCATCTTTCTCTTCCTGTTTTTAACTCACCTAACCAGCATCCCTGGTAGAGGGGACACTCAGACCAGAGAGATTGACACTCAGGATCAGTGACTTCAATTGCATTTTGAGGTTAAAACCAGGGTCCCCCCATCCCCAGGGCCGGCTCTTCCTGGCTCCAGCCTGGCTCTGTGGCGTCCATAAAGTTTTTGCCAGTGCTCCATGCCAAAGTGACATTCCGTTCTGCCATCATGGTGCATTCTCATCAAATACGACTTTAAACGGTGTATTAAGCTCAGCTGTCAACATTCAGAACTCGGAACCAAGGGAGACTTGCGTGTTTCTGCATTCCAGGTTGTTGCAGTTAATTGTTTTCTGCTTTCCTAACAACTGCCCTGATTCTCTGTTTTGCTTCCATTTTCTGTTGCTTCTTGCTCTTTGCTTGCAAAACAAACAGGCAAGCCTGGTAAGTAAACGCTTTTCACCTAATTTGACATTGTAACCCTTGTTTTGTTTTGTTTTCCCCCTCTTTTTTCCTTTCGCTTTTGTGTGTTTGCTGTCTCCCCCCCACCACCACCACCACACACACACAGTTTGATAATGTTTAGTCAGAAGAAGCCAGGACAGTCTCCAGGGGCACCGCTGAGTTTGCTGGGTCTAGAACACGGTTGAACGCTGATTTCCTGGCTGCATTTGTAGGCAACACACAGAGTCGTGAAGACTTCTCACTGCCTCTGTCTCCTGGGAACTGGGGAATTTTGGTTTTAAAAGGGTTAAGTTGGGTGGGAAGGAAACTTGAGGCAGGTGACTTCTCAACTCAGGAAGTCACGTAGGCTTTCCTTTGATGATGATGAACAGCTCCATTACCGAGTGGGGCGACATGTAGACATGCCCTCAGATAAGCCCAGGTGGTCATTGTACAGCATTCAGGTTGTTGTTGTGTGCCGTGGTGTCGGCCCCGACTCATAGCGACCCCTCCTTGGGTTTCCTACAGAAGTAGATTGCCCCATCTTCCTTCTGAGGAGTGGCTGGTGGGTTTGAACCGCGAGCCTTCTGGTTAGCAGTCAAGTGCCTTAGGCACTATGCTACCAGAGCTCCCAAGCTGCTGAAATTCAGAGAACAAAAATAAGCCTTTGGTGACTAGTGGGACTTTGAAATGCCCTTCCTTTTAGGCGTCTTAAGGGAACAAGCAGATTGCTGGTGGTTCTGTCCTCGCTGGAGTCCCTGGGGGCAGACAGTTAAGCTCTAGCTGAAAGGTTGGCAGTTCAGACCCAACCGGAGATGACTAGGAAGACAGGTCCCAGCCGTTGCTAACCCTGTGGAATTCTACTCTGCATGCGTGGGGTTGCCATGAGTCAGAATGGACTCAGCAGCTATTTCCGTCGTATACGGAAAAAACGCCTCCTGACTGAATCTCCGCTGTGTGCGGTGTGAGCAGTTCAAAGACAAGGATCCTGTGGATAATAACTCAGAGGGTCGAAACCCGTAGCCATCCAGTCGATTCCTGCTCAGCCACCCTGTCGAACTGCCCGTAGGGTTTCCAAGGCTGTACATCTTCAGGGAAGCAGACGACCACATCGCTGTCCTGCCGAGCCACTGGGGGGTTCCAGCTGCCGGCCTTTTGGTTGACAGCCGAGCACTTTAACCACTGCACAACAGGGCTCCTCCTGTTGCAAACAGGTCACTGTTACTGGGTTCTTCCTCTGTGTATAGGGCTTATCTGCATTTGCTCGTCAGTCTTCCTGCCAGTACACTGAAGTGAATCATCCCTGTTTCAGGTTGGGGAAGCTGGGACAATCGAGGTTCAATATCCTGCCAGGGTCCCACAGCTGGGAGGTGTCAGAGGCAGGACCCAGACCCAGACAATCAGATTCCGGAACCTGGCTCTTCCCCACTGCCCTAGGCAGCTCTGGGCTGCTGGGACCGGGAGCGCCAGGAGTCTGGCCACCACAGAGGCAGGGCTGAGGGACGCCAGGAACCTTAGGAACCTTATGGCCAGGGTTCTCCAAATGTGCTCCCTGGACCAGCAGCATCACATCACTGGGGAACTTGTGAGAAATACATGTCCTCGGGCCCCCAGAGTCTGTGTTTTAACCAGCCCTCCAGGTGGTTTGGACATGAGCACCCAGCTCACGGCCAGTCCCTTCCTTTGGAACTGAGCCCCAGGGGTCGGGGAGCTCAGCGGTGTTGGGCAGCTTGAGCAGAGCAGGAGGCAAAGTCCCAGGGGCGGCCCAGCTCCCACTCTTCCCAGCACCCAGCGAACCTGCAGACTCGGAATGCAGCAGGGCGCTGCTCTGTTCGGACCGTCGGGAAAAAGGCGCCCCCTTGGAAACCATCGTTCCAGGAGGACTGTGGCGGCCTCTGGGCACGGGCTCTGGGTTTGCGGCTGCCTCTGCTGCTTCCTAGCCGTGAGCCTTGAACCAGAGGCTTAGCTTGTCAAGCCCTCCATGTTGCTGTCTGTAAAATGGGGATGAGATAACCTACCCCTCAGCTGGTGTGAGGCTTCACAGATTGATTCATTCCACAGACGTGGATCGAGTCCTGTGTGCCAGGCTCTGGGGACAGCGCAGAGGACAAAACAGACCCAGGTCCCTGCCCTCATGGAGTATCCACTCAGAGGGCAGAAGAGCAATCCACACACACGTGCACACAAAGACACGCACACGTGCATGCACACGTGCAGACAAGCCCACAGTATATATGTACAGACTCAGCAACGTGCATACTTGAGCACCTGCACACAGACACACGTGTGTACATGCAGCATGCATACACACATGTGCACACAAATGTGTATAAAATAATGATGAGGCGTGCCGACTGCTGGGAAGAGCAAAATAAAGGAATAGAGAAGGCACAGGAAGGCATCTCTGGGGAAGTGACAGGGCAGGGACCATGTGGATGCGGAGGGAGCGTGGGAAGGAGGGGGCAGTATTCCCACAGAGCGGGAAGCAGGGTGGAGCTCGGGGCTAGAGCCGCCGTGCTAGAGGCCACGTGGCCGGAGTGAGAGAGCCAGCTGGCCATGGAGGAGAGGGTGGAGGCTGAGGCCGGTGGAGAGCAGGCGGCAGAGTTCGCTTTTGTCCCGAGGGCAGTGGGAACGTGGTGGGCTGTGAGCCGGTGAGATGGGATGGTTTGCCTCTTTGGAAGCTCAGCCTGGGTGCTGGGTGCATTGACTGAGGAAAGCAGTCAGCAAGCACCGGCCCATGGAAGGGCCTAGTGGGTGCCGCGCTGCCCTGGTGGCCGTGGCTGACATCATCTCTGGATGCGAGCGATCCCACAGCGGCAGCGGCAGGTGGCCCTGGCCCGACAGAAGACAGGTCTGGCTCCGCTGAGCACCTTCCCAGGGGCTTGCCCTGGCCTGCTCTCTGCTGTCACCAAGGCTCCAGAAAGTTCAGAACAAAGTCCCTTGCCCACGTGGGCCAGTGTTGGGCCCAGGGGAGAGCTACAATGAGGAGGGCATGTGCGGTGCAGGCAAGGGGCTGTGATGGGTGGCAGTCAGAGAAGGCCTCTGACGGGTACAGAAATGCCCATCAATGTGTGGGGTACAACGTTCCTGGTCATGGCCACGGCCGAGGGGGGTGCCAGACAGGGTGGGTGCGCCCAGCCACTCTGCACACAGCCCCAACCCCCTCTCCTTGGTGCATAACTGAGAAGCTCATGCCCTGCTGAGACATACAAAGCCCACCCCTCCTGCAGTTAAGGTGCTCGCTGTAGCCAGGAAGCTGCCTGCGTTTGTGCGAGATGGAGTTTCCAGGGAGACGGGTGTGTCAACTTTGGGTTCCTGAGGTGTTTTAAGGATGAGAAAACCTCTTTTTCTTTCCCAACAACCATCGCCTATCTTGGTACCGTTCAAGAAGGTCAGCCTCACAGCCAGGTGGCAGCACCGTGACATCTTCCCCAACACAAGATTCATGAATGACTTCTTTTTTCATTTTATGGCTCCATCTGTGTCTTGCCAGCAACCAAACAGAATCATTGAGGGCCTCAAAGGATGTTTTTAAGGGACTGCATTGATGGGGTTGAAAGAGCAGTGGGGAGTCCCCATCTTCTCTGACACTGCCCGGACCCAGGTTCTGGCTGCTTCTCCCTTTAGAGATAGAGCCTGGGTGGCCTCCAGGGAGTGGGTTCATCCCAAAGAAAAGCCGGGGCCCCAGGTGCCATCCCCCCCGCCGCCCCGTCAGCCTGAGCTGCAGCAAGGCCTCTGCTGAGCCAGGGACATGGTTCGTGGCCGTGGGCTCAATTGTCTTGCTCCTGTCTCTCCCACCAGAGGACGAGCAACGAGAAAAGTCTGTGTCCCACCACACGGTCCAGCAGCTGGTTCTGGAGAAGGAGCAGGCCCTGGCCGACCTGAACTCTGTGGAGAAATCACTGGCAGACCTTTTCAGGAGATACGAGAAGATGAAGGAGGTCCTGGAGGGCTTCCGTAAGGTGTGGTGGTCAAGCAGGGAGCTGGGTGTGTGGGAAGGCGGGGGACGGCCTTGCAGAAGGTGGGACAGGTTGGGAGAGAGCAGGAGGAGGGTCTCAAACAGCCCTAACGGGGTTCTCACAGGCTGGGCTGTCTGGGTGGTACCGCAGCAGAGGGCTGCTGGGCCTCCCGGTGCTACCAGGCGTCTCTTGCCAGAACGAAGAGGTGCTAAAGAAGTGTGCCCAGGAGTACCTGTCCCGCGTGAAGAAAGAGGAGCAGAGGTACCAGGCCCTGAAGGTGCACGCAGAGGAGAAGCTGGACAGGTAACGCAGCACGCGCCCTGCTCCCTGGGGAGGGCCCGGAAGGGGCGGGGGACACATGTGCGCTTTCTCCAAGGACGCGTGATGAGGGGGACACGTGATGAGGGGGACGCGTGATGAGGGGTGTTGGCTGCTCTCAGGTCTGCTCCCCACCCGGTGGTAGTTCTCACCTCCCGTGCCGGAGACCCAGGTTCCGTTCCTGACCAGTGCACCCCGAGGCAGCCACCACCATCCCTCGGGGAGGCCTGCATGTCACTGTGGGGCCGACAGGTTTCAGCGGAGCTTCCAGACTGAAGCAGAATAGGAGGGGAGCCCCGGGGACCCACCTGAACCAAGAGCCTGTGGATCAGTCCAGTTTGCGGCCCATCGGGGGTCACACGTTCTGTTCTGACGTGCGTGGGTCACCACGCGTCAGGGCCCAGGCACTCCAGCTACCTTCTGTTTGGACAAGTGATGCATGTTGTCACTCGCAGGAACCCTGCTCAGAGCCCTGTGGCATCACGGGAGCAGGTGTTGGGGTGTCCTGCAGTTGGGGCCCAGTCGGGTGGGGCTGGCTCCACACTGCCTGGGGGTGGGAAGTGGGTGAAGGGCGACATTCCCTGAGCTCCCGTCCCCACAGGGCCAATGCCGAGATCGCCCAGGTCCGAGGCAAGGCCCAGCAGGAGCAGGCCGCCTACCAGGCCAGCCTGCGGAAGGAGCAGCTGCGTGTGGACGCTCTGGAGCGGACGTTGGAGCAGAAGGTAACGGCAGAGCGGGCGCCTCTGGGCAGCGGCGGGCATCCACCCGTCAGACAGGTGCCTGCTGCGCTCCTGGGACAGAGCCACAGGGAGGCCCTGCTCCTGGCATGGGCTTGCTCTCCCAGCCTCACGCCTCCCTTCTGCCTTTCTGCAGTTGCTGCATTCGTGCTGCTTCCTGCCCCTTTTCACCCCTTTTTAGCATTCATTCATTCATTCATTGGTCAAAGTACTTACTAAACACCTACTATATGCCAGGCAGGCAAGGAGCCCTGGTGGCACTCACCCAAAGGTCAGTGGTTCAAACCCACTAGCCGCCCCACGGGACAAAGCTGTGGCAGTCAGCTTCCTTAAAGATTACGGCCTTGGAAACCCTACGGGCCGGTTCTACTCTGCCCTGCAGGGGCGCTGTGAGTTGGAATCGGCTTGACAACAATGCGTTTTGGTTTTGTGTTTTTATTTTTTATGTGCCAGGCGTGGTACTTTCAGCCCTGCGTCCAGTGCTTACCAGTGAGTGGGTAGGGAATGAGGCCCCTCATTGTGTAGGGAGCAGCCCCCATTTTAAAGAGACCCAGAACCGTGCTTCACCCCGGCAGGCCCTGTTGAGGTCAACAGCTGGGAGGGGCGCTGCACAGGGTGGGACGGGACACTTCTCCGAGTCAGGGCTTTGTGAGGGCTTGCATGGCGAGCTGAGCTCTGCCACAGGGCACTTTGCTTGGTAGCAGGCAATGGTACCAGGCTAGAGCTCCGTGAACCTGCAGAATCGAGAGCTGATCAGTCCCGGGGCCTCTCAGCCGTCGGAAGGCAGTGTTGTTTCTCGTAATTATAATAGCAAAGCTGTGTGGAAGCTGCGTCAGCCTGGACGTGCGTTCCAGACTTGCCACATCTGACTGGCTGTGTGACCTGAGGCACAGTGCTTAACCCCTCTGAGCCCATTTCCTCACCGACAAGTGGGGACCGTAATAGGCCCCTTCAAGGGACTGAGTGAGATTGTAGCACCTGGAGTGTGTCTAGCACCGCCACATGGCAAGCACGTGGCAAAGATGCATAGTTAACTTTGATTAGCAGCTCCTGCAGTGGTGACAGTAGGCGCCGGGTAAGTGCCACGTCCGGTTCAGACCCCACCCCACCCTGTGCAGCGCCCCTCCCGCCTGTTGACCTCAGCCATAAATTCTAGCCGGCAGGGCCAAGGTCAGGTCCCAGGCCAGGCTCTCTCCCAGCAGGTGGGCACAGCCATTTCTCCTCGCCTGGGGGGTGCTGACCGTTCCCAAGCACTGGCACGGGGTGAGGGGCTCGCTGACCTGGAACCCCAGGAGGAGGTGCTCTGGGCTGGCACCTGAGTCAAGAGGCCCCACCTTCCCGGGGAAGGCACTTTCGGGCCCCAGAGAAAGGCTCTGCCTGAGCTGCGCGTCTGTTGGGACTCCAGGATTGACTGGCTGCCGGTGTGACCGCGCCTTCCAGAAAGGCCCTCCAGTCAATAGTGCTGTTGAGTTCTGTCACTGTGGAGGCCCTGTGACCTGTGGGCGAATGGCTGTCGCGGCAGCTTAGGGTTCTCTAGCCGCCTGAGCAGGAGCAGAGCTGGGGCAGCTGCGCTGGGGGGCCCGGCCTGCTGACCCCCTTTCTAGAGAAGTGTTGTAGGGTGAGGGACGCTGAACATGCACCGGGGAGTGGGCTCCGAGGACAGGGGAGGCGTGCTTCCAGGCCGTGGGCTCACCTGGGAAGCATCGTGGGTCTGCCCCGAGCGTCTGTCCACCCCTCTCTTCGGACCTGGCGTGGCCACAGTGCCACCTGGTTTGCATCCTTGGTGCACCTCCAGCAGTACTCCAGCACGGTCTAGCATAACGTTAGTGGTCCCCGGAGAAAGGCTGAATCCCCCCGTGTGACACTTCTTTAAAAAAGCCACCCAGACCCTCCTTTTGAGTCCACATCCTTCAGGGCAAATAAACAAGGGAACAGATGTTCATTAAGCGCCCCCACCCCCACCGCCAGTGCTTATGACTGTGTAGGGAGCTTGTCATTCCTTCTCTCCTTAATAATCAAGGGAGCTCTGGTGGCATAGTGCCTGAAGCATTTGACTGTTAACTAGAGGGCTGGCAGTTCAAACCCACCAGCCACTCAGAAGGAAGACTGGGCAATCTAGACAGACATTATCCACATTTTGGAGGCAAGGAACCCAAGTTCAGAGAGGGTGTGTAACTGGCCCAAGGTCACGGAGCTAGAACTGGGATGGTGATGCACGCTCAGGTTGTCTGACTCCAAGTAATTTCTCTGGCTGCTTTGGTAACTTAGAGGGACCAAGAGGCCTGGTAGACCCCATCCCCAAGTAGAGCCTGGTACCCTTCTGACTGGATTGATCTCCTTCTCATCTTCACTTTCAGAATAAAGAGATAGAAGAACTCACCAAGATTTGTGACGAGCTGATTGCCAAAATGGGGAAAAGCTAACTTTGAACCAAATGTCTGGACTTGACCGTTACGTGCAATATGGCCGTCGGCACCCTGCTGTCCTAGCTGCGTGGACAGGCCCTGTCTGACTTTCTCGTATGCACTACTGTATCTCCTTCCTAACGGCGCTGACTTGATGGTATGCAGTACTACAGAGACTATCAGAATTTCTTGCTATTGGTTTGCATTTCCCCAGTATAAATTCATAGCAAGTTGACCTCAGAGTTCCTGTATCAGGGAGATTGTCTGATTCTCTAATAAAAGACACATCGCTGACCTTGGCTTTGCCCTTTGTGCCTGAGTTCCCAGGGTGAGCTGCTTTGGAATTTAATACAAACGTGGACAGCTTGCACAGGGACTCTTGCCTTAAGGAGTGTAAACTTGATCTGCATTTGCTGATTTGTTTTAAAAAAAAAAAAAGAAAAGAAAATGCATGTTTCAAATAAAATTCTCTATTGTAAATAAATTTTTTTTTCCTTTTGATCTTGGCAATAAGTGTGGCTTTGGTTTATTTCTGGGAAGGGTTGAGTCTTTCACGCCCTGGATCCATCATAGCAGAGTGGGCCTTCAGCTCGTCTCTGCCTGGACTCACTTCTTGTCTGTACATTTAAATAACTTTTCCTTCATTGGTGGGGACGCCGGGCTTGTAAACTGCAGCTAATAAGAAATATTGACTTGCTACTTAAATAATTAAGTGATTGTATTGCGTTAGCTTAGTTTTTTGTTTTTGTTTTTTTTTTTTTTTACAAAGCTTCTTTGACTTTAAGGGGGAAAAGCTGTTTCCTGCCTTGGCTCAAGGAACCGGCAGACTGTCCTTCTCCCTGTTCAATCCTTTCAATGACGTTTGAAGGTCAAACCCAAAACATCGTTTGTTCCCGTCTACAGGATTAGGAAAGAACAAGGAATTAGCAGTGGGAGGCAGGGAATTAAGCCACTTTGAGATTAAACAGGCCAAGTGTCTGCTGTTGCTGTGTTAGATCCGGTCCAGTTGGTTCTGACTCCCAGAGACCCTGCGTCAGCAGAAACCCTGCCTGGTCCTACGCCATCCTCACAGTCGCTGTTACAGGTGTGCTTATTGTTGCAGCCACTGTGTCAGTCTATGTCATTGAGGGTGATCGTCTCAGTCACAGACCCTCTCCTTCACCAGCAGGATGTCCTTCTCCAGGGATGGGTCCCTCCTGATAGAGGACATGTTCAAAGTACATGAGATGAAGGCTCACCATCCTTGCCTCTCAGGAGCATGCATGCTGTACTTCCTCCAAAACAGCTGTGTTTGTTCTTCTGACAGCCCGTGGGGCATTCAGCATTTCTCACCAACACCGTACTTCAAATGCACCAATTCTTTGGACCTTCCTTTATTCCTTGTCCAGCTTCCGGACGCATATGAGGCAATCGAAAATATCATGGCTTGGGTCAGGAGCACCTTCGTCCTCAAAGTGACTTTTTTTTTTTTTAAAAAAACTCTTTAAAGAGCTCTTTTGCAGTAGATTTACACAATGCAATACATCCTTTGATCTGACTGCTGCTTCCCTGGCTGTTGATCGTGGATCCAAGTAAAATGAAATCCTTTCAGCTTCAATCTTCTCTCCATTTCTCATGACGTTGCTTATTGGTCCAGTTGTGAGGATTTTTGTTTTCTTTATGTGGAGGTATAATCCATATGAAGTCTGTCTGCTCTGATCTTCGTCAGTAAGTGCTTCAAGCCCTCTTCACTTTCAGCCAGCAAGGTGGTGCCACCTGCACATTGTGGGTTGTTAATGAGCCTTCCTCCGATGCCGGTGCTGTGTTCTTCATCTAGTCCAGCTTCTCGGATTATTTGCTCAGCATACAGATTGAATAAACATGGTGAAAGGACGCAGCCCTGATGCACGCCCTTCCTGATTTTACACCACACAGTATCCCCTTGTTCTTAGATTCCTTCCTTGCACCGGACTTGCTCAGGGATGCCAGGTTAAAGGGCAGCTGATAGGGAGAGAGAAATTGGGAAGGTGTGGTAGCTTCCTGAGAAGTTACTGGGTGGCACAAATGGCTAAGCGCTGGGCTGCTAACCCAAGGGTTGGTGGTTCAAGCTCATCACATGCACTGCAGGAGACAAGTCTGGTGATCTGCTTCCAGGTCACAGGCGTGAAAACCCTGTGGAGCAGTTCCACTCCACAGAACAGGGGATTTTATAAGAAAGCAGAGGGAGGGGGGACAGCAAGAAGATAGTCACGTGAGGACAGGCAGGCATTGCAACTCAGGTCGCCATGAGGTGGACGTGACTACGACTGGTTTAGGGTTTTTTGTTGACTAGATTCCTGGACTGCTGTAACAAATTACCATGAACATGGCATTTTAAAACACAAAGGTTTTCTGTCTCCATTATGAAGACCTGTAGCCTAAACCTTAAGTGTCAGCAGGGCTGGTCCCCTCTGGAGACTGAGGGAGAATTTGTTCCATGTCTCCTCTAGCTTCTGATGGCTGCCGGCAAGCCTTGGTGTCCTTGGCTCGGCCTTTCTAAGTATGCTTTCTGCCTTTGCCTTCACGTGGCCATCTTCTCTGGGTTTCTCCCTCTGTTTCTCTTCTAAAGACACTTGTTAGATTTAGGGCCCATCCTAAATCCAGGATAGTCTTATTTTGAGATTCTCAATTACATCTGTCAAGACCTATTGCCAAGAAAGGTCTTATTCACAGATACTGGCTGTGGTAGTTATGTTTGCATGTCAACTTGGCTGGGCCTGGTTGAGTGGCTGAGCAGCTGGTGGTAGTTATTCCCCGTGATGAGACTGGTAATCAACTCCATGGTGGGATCTACCACAAGCAGCTGAGTAGCTGCCTTTGAGATGTGGTCTGCTTCCTGTATATAAGGAGAAGCCTTGGGAATGGTCTCTAGCTTATGCCATGCTTGGACCCTGCATGTAGCCGTGTCATTGTTCAGCAGCCTGCCATGCTCTGCCGACCTGGGGACTTACAATGGACTTAAATTAATGGCCTACCATGTGGTTTGGTAATATTGGGACTGTGCCTTTTTATTTGTCAACCTTGGGCTTGGCAGCCTCAGCAGCTAACAGCTGTCTGAGTAAAGAAACACCTCTAGCTTCAGTGGGCCAGGAGCTGGAGGCAGAGTTGAAGCCCAAGGCTGAGGGGCTTTAACCCAGTGCCTAGAACTTGGCACTTTGAACTTGGACTTAAAGCTTTCAAATTTTAAGAATACACTCCTGTTTGTTAAGGCCATCCCATTTGTGGTATATTCTTGTCAGAGCAGCACTAGGGAACCAGAACACTGGGGTTAGGTCTTGGGCATGTCTTCTGGGGACAAATGTGTGTCTAAGGGGATGTATGACAAGCAGGGACAGCTGACCCCCTCTGCTTCCCCACGGGTGACTTGACAGAGAAGAAAGATGCCCCAGTGCCTGGAGGCAGCACAAACTCCAAGGAAGAGCCCAGGCTGGAGGCTCAGTCCTGCTACTTTCTGGCTGTGCAATAGTAGGAGGTGTGCACCCTCTCTGGGTCCTAGTCTTCTCACTGTACTGGGGGTCACAGTACCTACCCATGCGCCATCGTGATGATGAATAAGCTGTGTGCAGTACAGTGCCGGCCGCCAGGACTCGCAGGGTCGAGGTCTGCCACTTCCTTCCTGTGATCCCATTATGTCACGCCACCAATGTCTGCAAGTTTGTCCACACACTGGCTGCTGAAGACGTCCTAAATCATCAGCTTCACTTTCCTCGGTGAGTGGACGGGCACAGACATGCACCTGACCCTGGTCCAGGGCTCCCTCTGGTGGCCACATTAGTGACCTTGAACTCTTGAGCTTTTAACTTTTTTTTCTCAGCTTGGTGAAAACTTGGAGCACTCAAGTTAAGGTCTCAAGTTACTGAGACAGTAAGATGACCTCATGAGGGCAGAGAGTGGGCGAGAGTCTGGAGGAGGCAGATAGAAAAGAGGGGAGGTGGTCCCAGGTGATTGCCCACGGGTCCCTCCTGGGAGCATTGCTTTTCTTCCAAGTTTAGAGCTCAGCCCCGCGGGTGTGAGATGCTAGGGACCTGAGACCGTGCAGGGAGGCGCCCCTTGCCTGGCACCTACCTATCCCAGGCTCCGGACTCCAGGTGTCCGGATGCAGACAGCGCACAGAGCCAGGTGTGGGGGAGATGGGGAGGAAGCTGAAGGGGCAGAGTGAGCGCCACCTGCTGGAAGATGCTGCTCTCACTTGATGCTGGGCCCGCTGAGAGGCTGAGCCTTCTCTGCACTGGAAAATGGGAAAAGGTGGGGAAGGTGTGGAGGTGGGGCAGGTGTGGGGGTAGGCGGGGTTGAGGTAGGAGTGTGGTGGGCATGGAGGTGGGGGTAGGGTGAGCGTAAGGTGGCAGCATTTGCCCACCGTCAAAGTTGAGAAGGCAAGAAGGGGTAGTGGAAGAGGACACGGGAGACACAGGGAGGAAGTGGGGATTGCAATGAATGACATGAAACAAAATGTGTGTGAACTGTTGGGCGGACAACTGATTTGCTCTGTAAACCTTCACCCAAACCACAATAAAAAATAAAAATAAAAAGTTTGTCATGACCAAGGCTAAGGAAGATGCTGGGAGGTATGTAAGAGTGAAAGACAACAATCGTAAACGCTGTTACACACACAATCAATCCTCAGTAACAGTCACAACAGACAAGAATCTGTGAGTGGGTGCATAGGTCAACATGTAAGCGGAACAAGTGTGGGCTGGCATGGGGAGGTACATCCACAAGCATCGGTAGGTTTGGCAGATGGTATTTCTACATCCACATTAGTTTGTGCTGTAAATATACGCAGGTAAATAGTAGAGCCTACAGGGGCAAAGTGATGCAAACTTCTTAGCCAGAACCAAACACCTGGAGGGACTGAGTCACAGAACTTGAGGGCTTAGGACCATAGTCTTGGGGACATCTAGGTCAATTGGCATAACTTGTCCATAAGGACAGTGTCCATCCTACTTTGATGAGTAGCGATTGAGGTCTTAAAAGCTTGCTAGTGGTCATCTACTCTCCGTTTAAGGGCAAGTTTCAGAGTCTCTTCTGACATCCATTGTGGTCTTTTCTTCCTTTCCCATTTTTTAATGACCTCTTGCTTTCTTCACAGATGATGTTCTTGATGTCATCCCACAATTTGTCTGGTTTTTGGTCATTAGTGTTCAATGCATCAAATCTCTTCTTTAGGTGTGTATCCATTTGTAGTGTTGCTGAAAAAAGGTATTTGCAATGAAGAAGTTGTTGGTCTTGCAAAATTTTATCATGCAATCTCCAGTGTTATTTCTATCACTGAGGCTATATTTTCCAACTACCAGTGATTCTTCTTTGTTCCCAACTTTTGCATTCCAGTCACCAGTGATTATCAACACATCTTGATTGCATGTTTGGTCAATTTCAGACTGCAAAAGTTGGTAAAAATCTTCAATTTCCTCATCTTTGGCTTTGGTGGTTGGTGCATAAATTTGAATAACAGTAGTATTAACTGATCTTACAGGCATATGGATATTATCCTATC